GCCGCATCGCCAGCCACTACTACATCACCAACGAGACGATGCAAACCTACAACCAGCTGCTGAAACCCACCCTCAGTGAAATCGAGCTCTTTCGGGTCTTCTCCCTGTCCTCCGAGTTCAGGAACATCACCGTGAGGGAGGTATGGAGCCAGGCACCCTGCTGCTGCAGGGGAAGGTGCAGAGCGTGCCCTGTGAGGGACCATTCTCATCCCTCCCACCTTGGTTCCTTGCAGGAGGAGAAGCTTGAGCTTCAGAAGCTGCTGGAGCGAGTTCCCATCCCAGTGAAGGAGAGCATAGAGGAGCCCAGTGCCAAGGTGAGTCCTGCCTCCACCTCAGGGGGACTTCTCAGAGATGCTTCATGTCTCTGGTTGAGTGCGTCGTCCTGCAGTGTGGGACCATTGGTCCCTGTTGATCACTTCAGTCCCACCATGCATCAAAGCCCCCCAGGATCAGGCACTGGTGCAGTGGGCACTGAGAACCTCTCATCTCCTTCCCCAGATCAACGTGCTCCTCCAGGCCTTCATCTCCCAGCTGAAGCTGGAAGGGTTTGCCCTCATGGCAGACATGGTGTATGTAACCCAGGTGAGTGAGGAAACGTGCTGGGGCCTCTTTCCATTTAGGTGTGTGCAGCCCAACCCTGCCTCAGACAACTAGTTACACCTCAGAGATGTCTGTGGCCATAAATGGCTTTGGGAGTAACCAGAGCTGTGAGTGGTGAGGTCTCACCCCTACCAGGGTGGAAATTACATCTTCACTGGAGTCTCCAGTTTGTAATCCAAATAACTCAGCTCTAGAGGACTACACTGTAGCCTTACAAATCTCCCCCAAGGCCAAGTTCCCCAGGCTGGGAATCATGTAGTTGCTCCTTCTGTGGGAGTTTGGGATGAAGGACCTTTAAGTATGATTCAGTTCATAAAGGAGACTTACAAGAATGATGGGGAAAGACTTTGGACAAGGACCTGCAGGGACAGGCCAAGGGGAATGGCTTGAACCTGCCAGAGGGGAGATTGAGATGAGCTCTGAGGCAGAAGCTCTTCCCTGTGAGGGTGCTCTCATGGAAGGTGCTGGTTCCTTCCAACCCAAACTGCTCTATTACCATTAGTTGGGTGGCAAATAGGCAGAGGGGAAGGAGCAGCCGCGTGGCTGGGCACAGCCCTGACTGCTGTTCTGTCCCCAGTCTGCTGGGAGGCTCATGAGGGCCATCTTCGAGATCGTCCTGAACCGTGGCTGGGCCCAGCTCACCGACAAGACCCTCAACCTCTGCAAGATGATCGACAAACGCATGTGAGTGACATCTCAGAGGTGGTTTGTGGGTGAAAGCTGGAGGAGGTCCCTCAGCGGGGCCTGGTGTGGGAAAGGAGAGTGCTTGTGGCTGGTGGGGTGCGAAGGAGCTGCTGCGTGTGGCCGAGGGCTGGGTTGGCAGCGTGGGGAAGCTGCTCTGAAGGCTTCACCTCTGGCTCTTGGCCTGTCTCGCCGTGGTGCCCGTGCAGGTGGCAGTCCATGTGTCCTCTGCGACAGTTCAAGAAGCTGCCTGAGGAAGTGGTGAAGAAAATTGAGAAGAAGAATTTCCCCTTCGAGCGGCTCTATGACCTGAACCATAACGAAATAGGTACAGAGACATGGCAGGGAGAGATTGCTGGTTTGGGAGGTTGGTTGCCCTGTTGTCCATGTATCCTGATGGCAGCACCTTCCTCTTCACAGGGGAACTGATCCGAATGCCCAAGATGGGCAAAACCATCCACAAGTACGTTCATCTGTTCCCAAAGCTGGAGCTCTCGGTCCACTTGCAGCCCATTACCCGCTCCACGCTGAAAGTGGAGCTCACCATAGCTCCTGACTTCCAGTGGGATGAAAAGGTGAGGCCGTGCTGGGAAGGAGGGCACTTGTGGGGCCACCCCTGGCCCTCTCAGTGCCTTGGTCTTGAGGGGTTGCTTCACTTCATGTGAGGAAACGGTGTATCCCCTGTACCAACCTTCTCCATCTGTGAAGGGCTTGGATGTAGGGATGGAGCCAACTGAAGCTGTCCTGTCCATGTTTCTCTGCCTGGGCTTAGCCAGATTCGGGAGTTCATTGTGGGAGGGCTGGTGTCCAGCTCCTGGAGGTCTGGAAGGGGGGAAACAAGACTCTGCTGTGTAGGTAACAGCTGCCTCTGCTCAGGTTCATGGTTCATCCGAAGCTTTCTGGATCCTGGTGGAGGACGTGGACAGTGAAGTGATCCTGCAC